AACTATTCCAACCCTATTCAACCCCCCCCCACTATTCATACTTGCACCAGCCCACCTTTCTGCCAATAGTTGCTTATATCTCACCCGAACTTCCTCCTCCCTTAGTTTATACACTTTCACCTCCCTCTTACTCGTTGTTGCCATTTTCCTCTTGTCCCATCTACCTCTTACTCTAACTGTAGCTACAACTAAATAATGATCCAGTATGTCAGTTGCCCCTCTATAAATGTGTACATCCTGGAGCCTACCCATCAACCTTTTATCCATGAATACATAATGTAACAAACTACTTTCATTACGTGCTGTATCATACCTTGTATATTTATCCTCTTTTTCATAAAATATGTATTACTTATTACCAAACCTCTTTCTACACATAGCTCAATTAAAGGCTCCCCATTTTCATTTACCCCTGGCACCCCAAATTTACCTACTACTCCCTCCACAACATTTTTACCCACTTTAGCATTGAAATCCCCAACCACAAGTACTCTCACACTTGGTTCAAAACTCCCCATGCATTCACTCAAAATTTCCCCAAATCTCTCTCTCTCCTCTACACTTCTCTCTTCTCCAGGGGAATATATACTTACTATAACCCACTTCTCACATCCAACCTTTATTTTATTCCACATAATCTTTGAATTAATACATTTATAGTCCCTCTTTTCCTGCCATAACTTATCCTTCAACATTATTGCTACTCCTTCTTTAGCTCTAACTCTGTTTGAAACCCCTGACCTAATCCCATTTATTCCTCTTCACTGAAACTCTCTCACCCCCTTCAGGACATCCAGCTTCTTCTCATTCATAACATCCACAATCATCTCTTTCTTATCATTCGCACAACATCCACGCACTGAATATTCAGACATCCCACTTTGACAATTTTCTTATTCTTTTTAGTAATTATTACAGGAAAAGGGGTTACTAGCCCACTGTTCCCGGCATTTTAGTTGACTTTTACAACACGCATGGCTTACGGAGGAAAGATTCTTATTCCACTTCCCCATGCATTTTTTTTTTTTTATCAAGTCGGCCATCTCCCACAGAGACATTTATCTGTATTAAATTTCATTACCCATCTTGTGCTATATTGTTCATTTTATACATGAATGCAAGACTTTACAGTTAATTTTATTACAGTGGTACCCCGAGTTTCGTACAGCTCCCAACGCGAACAATTATGTAAGTGTATTATTGTAAGTGCTTTTGTAAGTGCATTTTTGGGGATCCGAAACGGACTGATCTAATTTACATTATTCTTCATGGGAACAAATTCGTTCAGAAACGGCACTCGAACAGCCTTCTGAAATGAATTATGGCCAAAACTCGGGGTACCATTGTACTTACATTGCACAGAATTTTTTTGCATCACCAAACCTGTTCTCATATTTATTTCTTCTGACAGATATCTCCTGTTTCATATTTTCCAAAAGAATTTTTCTTGGAGTTATTTAAATTTTTTTTTTTTCCAAAATCTAAATATATGCAGTCTACTCATCCATTTATTTAATTTGTGACTAATTTAGCAGAGTAATAGTTCTGATAAAAAGAGGATTCAGTTGATCTTTAACCAAACTGTTGGAAACAAGATTTTTCTCTCTGAGTATTCTATTCACTGTTTTTTTCAGAGTGCTTAAAACAATACAGTGGAACCTCAGTTGTCAAATTTAATTCATTCCAGATGTCAATTCGACAACCAAAATGGACAACAACCAAAGCAATTTTTCCAATAAAGAATAATGTAAATAGATAACAAAAAAAGGCACAATACCGTGACTGGAACGATACACAAATAACCCGCACATAGAAGAGAGGAGTTTACGACGATGTTTCTGTCCGACTTGGACCATTTACAAAGTCACAATGTGACTTTGTAAATGGTCTAGACCCCATATGAATACTAAAAGAAACTTTAACTGAAATACTGTACAGTAAATGAAAATTTAACTGCCTCTTACCTGTCAGAGGTGAGCTAATTGCATACTGGAAGCAGGAGATAGAGGAGAGGAGAGGGTATGTTACTGCTTGGAAGGAGAGTCACCTTCTAATAACATGTCAGGCAACTCTCCTCCTATTGTTGTCTTTCTTCTTTGTCTCTTTTAACCATTAACACCTTGTTCTGGCTCACTGGTTCTTTATCTCACTAAAAATCTTGTCCAGTGAGGTTGGTTTCAGGTTCCATTTTAACACTTGTCTGAACTGAGACATTACACTGTCACTGTACGTGTTAAGAGAGATGGATGGCCACTGCTTTGTCTGGATGGTTTTTTCAGCAAACTCCTGCACTTCATGCCATTTAGCACACATTTCCTTGACAAGTGCAATGGGCACATCATCCCTTCCCTCCCCTTCCTCTGATGACAGCTCCTCCACTGCAATCTGTTGCTGCTCCTTCTGAAGGTCTACAAGTTCTTCTGTGGTGAGTTCAGTTCTATGCTCCACCACCAACTCCTCCACATTATCTTCAGTCATTTCTAGGCCCAAGGTCTTCCCCAGGGACACAATATTCTCTTCACAGTTATAAAACTGAACTCCTCCAGCAACTTGCTTTCCAAGCTTGGAGGGTGAGCAGAAGCATTATCCATAATTAAGAGGGTCCTGAGTAGCAATTGTTTTTTAACAAGGTACTTTTTGACGGTGGGAGCAAAAACTTCATGAACCCACTCAATAAAAAACTGTCTTGTTACCCAAGCTTTCATGTTGGTCCTCCACATTACAGCCAATTTGTTTTTCATTACATTATTCTTCTTAAAAACTCATGGATTTTCAGAATGATAAACAAGTAGGGGCTTCAATTTCAAGTCCCCACTTGCATTACCACACAGTAACAGAGTGAGCCTGTCTTTCACTGGCTTATGTCCTAGCACTGACTTTTTCCTCTTGGGCATTGTCTTCCAGAAGAGGCCTGTCTTGTCACAGTTAAACACTTGTTGGGGGACAAACCCCTCAGCCTCTATGTACTCTTGGAATTCAATGACATATTTTTCAACAGCCACTTTGTCAGCATTGGCAGTCTCCCCATGCCTAGCCACATTATGAATGACACTTCTTAAAATTATCAAACCAACCCCTACTAGCACATGACCCGAGCCGTTCGCATTGTCAGTTGACAACCAAGAGAACGTATGAAAACCAGGACATTCTTTCCTTGAATTCCTCATTTGAAAACAGATTTGTTTGACAAGTAATGCAGTCGACAACCAAGGTTCCACTGTACTTGCCAATGAGACAGGAATACAGTTTTAAGGATTTTCCCCATAGCTTTTTTTTAAATAACTAAACAATGTTTGCCATTTTCCATTTGTCTCCCACTATACCTTCCTATAATGAAATCTCTAAAAGTCCTCATAGTAGATAGCTTTATTATTCTCTACACCCTATTGTTTTTTATGAAGTCCATAGTGATATTTCATCTGGTCCTATTGCTTTTTAGCACTACAATATCCAGTAGTAGCCTCTGTAATTCTTTGTTTATTTCAGTGGGTTCCATTTCAAATGGTTATGGGGATTCAACCTTGCTTTATCTAAAGCAGTGGTTCTCAACCTATGGACCTTTGGGAATGGGAGATGCTGTATTACTCCTCTCAGCCAGTGCTTCATTTTCTATTATCAAGCAATGTCTAACACCATCAAATTCATGAGATCTGCAAAATTTTTTTGAGGTTAAAATGGGATCCTCATACAGTACTTGAAAAGGTTGGGAACCCATTAGCTAAAGTAAATGGTTACATTAACTGGATGTTTTAACATAATTGTTTACTTTTAAAGTAAGTGCCCTCTTCTGTAAATACATTCTGGAATTCCATACAGTGGAACCTTGGTTTTTGTAAGCCTTATTTTGTATGTAAAACCATAGTTATTCTCTATAAAATGTATTTTTTGTTAATATTTCCCATAAGAAATAATGTAAATCCAATTAATCCGTTCCAGACACCCAAAAACATTAAAAAAAAATGCATTTTATAGAGAATAACTATGGTTTTACATACAAACTAAGGCATACGAAAACAGAGGTTCTGCTGTATTTAGTATCTCACACATATCCTCCTCCAATTGAGCAATATTGTCATAATTCTTATTCTTTGTATTGTATTGTCTTTCATATTATTTTACTTTTTTATCAACTTGAACAAGAGTTTTGATTTTGTTTTGCTAATGTCTGATACTGTATTTCACATTAAAATCCTTTTCTTTATATCTCCTTACTTTGGCAGCATAATCCTCACTGTGGAATTGTTCACCTATTATCTTTTCCCTTAGCATCTAAGGATATATTAATGAACAAATTAACTAGCAACCACTCTTCTAGAAATCATCTACTGATATAAGTCCTACATTATCTGTATAAGGAGATACAATATGCTAACTAATTTTCATCAAACCATCTGAAATACAAAAGTATTTACATACTAAAAAAACCTCAAACATTATACCACTGCAATAGAATGACAATAAAATTCACTATTCAGAGGTTTAGGCTCATTTATAGCTGTATCATGGAATAATACAATTTGTCCCAAGTTCAACAGGCCCCTCTTCAATGATATTCACTTATATTTTTACTTTGCTACAATATACAGCCTCTCCTCACTTAACGATGGAGTTCGGTCGGTAAACAAATTCACCACTAAGTGAGGAGCATACTATAATGGTAGTTGATTTGTGTCATCTATCTCTGACATTGTTTTCATATCATCTTTGCACCATTTATAACATTTCTGGTATATTTTAAAATTTTTATACAGCATTGTACTGTATACTCTAATAAACAGAATAGAGGAAATCAGCTCTAATGTACAGAGAGCCCGTCATAAGTCCGCGTCATCAGTAAACGAGTACGTCGCTAAGTAAGGAGAGGCTGTATTTAGTTATGAATATACCGACTATAGTCTAATCACTGAATATGATATTTACAATCCAAGATTATTTCTAAACATTCTGCTATGATGATCAGTTCAAGAAATTCGGTGTACAATATTTATGGTAACACTTACCTATATAATTGGAGTTATCCTTCTGATCAAGTTGATGTTGAGCCAGCAGCAGGAAAATCCCTTTGGCATTTGGAGTCAATGATCTAAAATAATAATCACAAAATTCAGCACACAAAACTTTCTTGAATGTATAAGCTTTATACTTTCCAGAGAAACAAAAATTAAATTTAAGAGTTAATTACAGTTAAAAGATTTTCCCACTAAAAATCTCAAACTTTGTCACAGCAAAATTTTTAATTTGTGTACTATTACAATAATCAACTCAAGAAAAAGATAATTAAAAACCTGAAGACATGTATTAGCGATGACAATGCCAGCGATCCCGACTGCTGTACCAACAATGAGTTTTCAAAAGATGTCTCCTCAGAATAAGGTGCCAATGTTGTAGCGTCACACCAAAGTGCATTGTAGTGGCTCATTCTGCTACTGTCAAAGACTGCAAAAAACATTATACACATACAGTATGTGGAACAGTACAGTATATAATTTTAGAAACAAGGCATACAAAATAATATTCAAAGTCATGTCAAATTTTATTTGCTAAAGTTAACAGAGTGCTGGTTCAGCTGGTTCAGGCCTTGGGATGTAATTAATGAACAGAGAATAGGCTGCTTGAGTTTCTGGAATGCATAGTTTTATTTTACTCTTTATAAATTGGAATTTATTGAATTTCTTATAAAACTCCCCAAATTTTGAACTTCTGTGTATTTTATGGGGCAGTTCTGACACTTGAATGGGTGTTTTTTTTTTTTAAGCTGATTTTAATCAATAGAATGGAAAGTATACTAGGAAAAATAACCAAGAATTTGAGTGAAATGAGCAATGAAATTTAATTACAATACTCAAAGTGGGCTAAATCAAAGATGTGTAAATTGTGCCCAGACTGCCAATTTTGTGGCTGCATAATTCCAATGTGGCAAATGTTGCAAATGTATGGAATAGGAGGTAGGTTACTGAAAGCAGTGAAAAGTTTTTATGAGGATAGTGAGGCTCAGGTTAGAGTATGTAGGAAAGAGGGAGATTATTTCCCAGCAAAAGTAGGCCTTAGACAGGGATGTGATGTTACCATGGTTGTTCAATATATTTACAGATGGAGTTGTAAGAGAAGTGAATACTCAGGTGTTGGCAAGAGGTGTGGGGTTAAAAGATAAACGATCTAACACAAAGTGGGAGTTGTCACAACTGTTCTTTGCTGATGACACTATGCTTTTGGGAGATTCTGAAGAGAAGTTGCAGAGGTTGGTTGATGAGTTTGGTAGGGTATGTAAAAGAAGGAAATTAAAAGTGAATATAGGAAAGAGTAAGGTGATGAGGATAACAAAAAAAAATAGGTAACGGAAGATTCGATATCAGAATGGAGGGACAGAGTATAGAGGAAGTGAATGTGTTCAGATATTTGGGAATGGATGTGTCAGCAGATGGGTCTATGAAGGATGAGGTGAATCATAGAACTGACAAAGGAAAAAAGGTGAGTGGTGCACTGAGAAGTCTGTAGAGACAAAGAACTTTATCCATGAAAGCAAATAGGGAAATGTATGAGAGTATAGTTATACCAACACTCTTGTATGGGTGTGAGGCATGGGTTGTGAATGTTGCAACAAGGAGAAGGCTGGAGGCAGTTGAGATGTCATGTCTGAGGGCAACGTGTGATGTGAACATAATGCAGAGAATCCATAGTTTGGAGATTAGGAGGAGGTGTGGGACTACCAAAACTATTATCCAGAGGGCTGAGGAGAAATTACTGAGATGGTTTGGACATGTAGAGAGAATGGAATGAAATAGAATGACTTCAAGTGTATAAATCTGTAGTGGAGGGAAGGTGGGGTAGGGGTCAGCCTAGGAAAGGTTGGAGGGAGGGGGTAAAGGTTTTGTGTGCAAGGGGCTTGGACTTCCAGCAAGCATGCCTGAGCGTGTTAGATAGGAGCGAACAGAGACAAATGGTTTTTAGGACTTGACATGCTGTTGGAGTGTAAGCAAGGTAACATTTATGAAGGGATTCAGGTAAACCGGCAGGCTGGACTCGATTCCTAGAGATGGGAAGTACAGTGCCAGCACTCTGAAGGAGGGGTGTTAATGTTGCAGTTTATAACTGTAGTGTAAGCATGCCTCTGACAAGACAGTGATGAAGTGAATTATGACAAATGTTTTTCTTTTTCAGGCCACCCTGCCTTGGTGGGAAAGAGCCGATGTGTTAATACAACATAAAAAAAAAATAATAATTCCATGTTTTCCATCAAATTTTGTATTTGTAGTGTCATTACCACAAAAAAAAGTTTCTCTACTATTTCATATGAAATATTTTTTAAAAAGCCTGACACTGTGAGCACTTTTAATATCAGGGGCTCCAACAGTGAAAGGATTAACAAAAATCAACAACCTTACATATAATTTATTAAAATAAGTCAAGAGTTTATCTTACTGAGAGGAGCATTGATGTGGTCGATTGAAGCCAAGATATGAACATGAGGAATTGAAGCTAAGTGTGCAATGGCAGATTGAGATTTTTCTCCACGAAGCATTGGGCCATCTAAATTGTGGATAATTATGAACAAAGATTCTGCACTTGACTTTGTGTAGAATCCCTGAATGAATTCCAGCTGCTCTTGGATACTGTGGAAACTACCTGTGTGATCTATTATGTCCTCTGTTATGTTATTTAAAAGCTGAAAAGAAACAAAATTTATCAAAAGAAGAAAGCTAATACATGCCTTCATCAAAATTATAAGTAAATTATTCTTACCATAAGCCTTAACCCTTTCAGGGTCCGTCCCGTAGATCTACGGCTTTACATTCAGGGTCCAAACCGTAGATCTACGCCATGAGCTCAGCTCACTCTGATAAACTGTGAGTGGTACATTTGGGCCTAGATATGAGAGAATACAGCTATGTGGTATGTGTGCACCACATAAAACAGATCCTGCAGCACACTGTGTATAATGAGAGAAAAATAACTGAAATCATGATTTTTCGATTAAAACAGCGACTTTGCAGTGTTTTTTCGTATATTTTTTATAGTTGTATTTGCAATTTCTTGGTCTCATTTGATAGAATGGAAGACATATTACAGAAATAGAGATGATTTTGATTGGTTTTAGCACTGGAAATGGCTTGAAACTGAGCTCAAAGTAGCAGAAATGTTAAATTTTTGCCGATGTTCAAGAGTAAACAAACGACCTCACACGTCTAATACACGCCAGCTGGTGGGTCTAATATGCATTCACAAATATGGTGATGATATTTATACAATTATTACAGTATTGCATAACAGTAAATCTTCTATTTTTTGGTGTGAATAAAAATTCATTATGTGAATAAAAAATCAAAATGGAATTTATTTGTAAAGCCTTAAAATGTAACTAATGAACAGAGGAAATGTTAGTTTAGTTCCAGGAATACCTACATTATTTATTCTGGACCCTATTTTGAAATTGGAATATTTTGGACTTTGTGTTAAATTGGCCAAATTAACAATTTCCGATCACTTTAATTTGTAGTTGAAACAGTTGACTTGGCGATTTCTTGTGCTCAATTGATAGAATAGAAGTAATACTAGTGAAATAGCTAAGAATTTGGTTGACTGGAGTAATGTAATTGGCCTAAAATGGGAGTCAAAGTCGGCAAAATTGCCGATTCGTAAATATCGCTGACACATCAAAATTCGCGAGAGCATAACTTCATCAATTTTCCATCAAATTTCGTACTTTTTATTTTATTACCTTCACAAAAAGATTCTCTACCATTTCATAAGAAAAATTAACAAAATTTTTTTTTTTAAATTCTTGGACACTGGGGCACCACTTCAGATTTGGGCCTTGGACCCTGAAGGGGTTAATTTTCCTCCCAATGTACACTTAAATCATCCTTTTGTACACCTGCATACTCTCTATGTACACAAACTTTTCTCCTTTAATACAATTCACTTTATTATGTCTCATATATATTTAATGCTCATTTCTCTTGATTAATACAGTTCACTTTATTAATATGCTTCTTATATTTTTAATGCTTCTATCTTTATCCAATATTTACTTTTCATATCCACACAAAATGTAGGTAGTAGGTTGGTAGACAGCAACCGCCCAGGGAGGTACTACCGTCCTGCCAAGTGAGTGTAAAACGAAAGCCTGTAATTGTTTTACATGATGGTAGGATTGCTGGTGTCTTTTGTCTGTCTCATAAACATGCAAGATTTCAGGTACGTCTTGCTACTTCTACTTGCACTTAGGTCACACTACACATACATGTACAAGCATATATATACACACCCCTCTGGGTTATCTTCTATTTTCTTTCTAGTTCTTGTTCTTGTTTATTTCCTCTTATCTCCATGGGGAAGTGGAATAGAATTCTTCTTCCGTAAGCCATGCGTGTTGTAAGAGGCAACTAAAATGCCGGGAGCAAGGGGCTAGTAACCCCTTCTACTGTATATATTATTAAATGTAAAAGGAGAAACTTTTGTTTTTCCTTTTGGGCCACCCCGCCTCGGTTGGATACGGCTGGTGTGTTGAAAGATCCACACAAAATTCTGTTTTTAAGGAAAAAAACATTTACTAAATTGTAAAGTGATTCAGGGAAACCAGTTAGTTGGGCTTGAGTCCTGGAGGTGGTAAGTACAAAGACTGCACTCTGAAGGAGGGGTGGGGATATTTGTAGTTTGGAGGGGAATCTAAACTGTAGTATCTGCATGCCTCTGGCAAGACAGTGATAGAGTGAATGATGGTGAAAGTATTTCTTCTTTTCTGGGTCACCCTATCTTGGTGGAAGAAGGCCAGTGTTATAAAAAAAATCAAAAGAAAAAATAACAAACAATATAAAACTACTAGCATGAATAAAACACACAACACAAATAAATACTATTACACTAAGTCAATTTTTTTTTTTTCCAACAAGTCGGCCGTCTCCCACCGAGGCAGTAGGTGTACAAAAGGAAAATCACATACAAGACCATAAAAGGATTCGAAAATAGATAAACGATGATATTTACAGCACTAACAGATACAAGAGAAAATTTATAAAAAAGCACCTAAAGGATGCTAGAAAATATTTCTTCACAAAGAGATGGGCCAGACTGCCAGAATGGGATACAAAAGGAGATAAAAGTAAATGCTGCAACTGATGGATGCATTAAAAATTATATGGCAAACTAAACACTGAAAACTGAACATGACAAGCATAGCTGCTTTAGTAACTTCAAATTGATTATCACTGAAAATAACAAATCTATCATAAAGATCCTAACAATATTACTATTTACTAGTACTGTTGATGTAATGTTTACCATTAAATCAACAAAATTAAAAATGTATATTACAGAAAATATTATATTTTTCAGTCACTTGCATAACTTTATAATATCAATCAAAAACTTACGTTTTTAAGAGTGAGTGATGGAAAGAAGCCATTGACAACTATGTGGTCAAATTGGGCTAAATATTCTTGCTGAAACTTTGAGATCAACTGCTTCTTGCTTCCTAAACCATACAGAAATACACTGAAGCCTTCACTGAAAGATTAAAAGGATTCTTTAAAGATTTTTTTTTTTTTTACTTTTGACAGATAAGATAAATAATTCTTCCTGTTGGGGAAGATTATAGAAGCAACAGAATAAAATACCCATAACAATGATGATAACCAGCACAGTGTTAATTATAACATGACACTGATATATATGACTACAATATTGGTGTAAGGCCACTTTAAGTATGAATGTTATTTTAAGTCTCTAAAATTATTTTAAGTATCTAAAATTAAGTGCTAAGCTTTTGGAGGCAACATATGAGGAGATAATATAGTGTTGTCTATAAAGACAACAAATAACTGTAGATATTTTGAGATCAAATTCTTGGTTTTAGGTTGGGTCAGAAAATGAGCTGATGAAACTAACCACAAAAATGTCATCCAACGAGGAAACATGTGCATATGTTCCTCAAGTAATGCTTCCCTCTCTCTCTGATGAGATGTGGCTACACTCGAAAGGATTGACTGCAAGGCCTCTGGTGACAATCTAGGAGTTTCTAGCCGGCTGAGGGTGTGATCTGAAGTAACTACTTTTCCTGTATCTCCATTTGATGTAAAATAATCATCTGCCTTACCAACCTGGAAATATACAAAAAAAGTAGCAAGATAAATTAATGTGAATAAATATACTGGGCAGGGCAGTGACTACATTCTGAAGGAGTGGGAATGTTGCAGCCAGAAAGTAATCCGAATTGCAAGGTCAATCCTCTTGGAAAAACATGGATTGAATGAGTGATGGTTAATGTGTTTTCTTCTTTCAGTCACTCTGCCTTGGTAGGAGACTGCTCCTGAGGCAAAAAAAAAAAAAAAAAAAAAAATATACAGCCTCTCCTCGCCTAGCGACATACTCGTTTACCGACGACTCAGAATTACGACGGGCTCTCTTACCAGTATGCATACCTAAATAATGTATATTAGAGCAGATTTCCTCTATTCTGTTTATTACAATAGACAGTACACTACTATATAAACATTTAAAATTACAGTGGACCCCCACCTTACGATATTAATCCGTTCCTGAGAGCTCATCGTAAGCTGAAATTATCATTAGCCGAATTAATTTTCCCCATAAGAAATAATGGAGATCAAATTAATCCATTCCTGACACCCCAAAGTATGAAAAAAAAAAAAAATTTAACCACATGAAATATTAATTTTAATACACACAAACTGAAGAAGACATGCACAATTACTACTCTACTAAGAATAGAATACATGACATTTACCTTTATTGAAGATCTGGTGATGATTGATGGGATGGGAGGAGGGGAGAGCATGGAAGTTATTGTTTAGAAGGGGAATCTGTCCATAGTGCTATGTACCTCCCATTCCTTTAAGACTTTCCTAAAATGGGCCATAACATTGTCACTGTACAGGTTGCCAACACGGCTTGCAGTAGCTGTGTCAGGGTGATTTTTATCAGTAAAGGTTTGCAGTTCAACCCACTTTGCATACATTTCCTTAATCTCTTTTTTTCAATTCCATACTAATTCTCGCCCTTTTTACCACAGGGATGGCACTAGAAGCTTTCTTGGGGTCCATGGTGACTTATTTTGCAGTTACAAGCACTAAAAAAACTGGGATAACTTGAAATGTACCGAATGTGTGTGTAGATGCAACCGCACTGGCTGGCTTGTAAACAATGGCGCTGAGGCCACACGTGGGACATGTCCCGGACGAATCACATAAGGCGAGTTTTTTATCGTGAGGCGAAACAAAATTTTTGCGTTCAAATGCTTCATATGGCGGATTTAACATAACGCGATGCGTTCGTAAGGCGGGGGTCCACTGTATACTAGAAATGTTATAAATGGTGCCAAGGTGACATTTAAACAATATAAAAGATGGCTGACACAAACCCACTATCACAGTATGTTCCTCACTTATCGACGAATTTGTTTACCGGCGTGGTCTTAGGAACAGAACTCCATCGTTAAGTGAGGAGAGGCTGAACTCTATTAGAGGTAATAAGTTGGTAGACAGCAACCGCCCAGGGATAAGACAGGATAAGATAAGATTTCATTCGGATTTTTAACCCAGGAGGGTTAGCCACCCAGGATAACCCAAGAAAGTCAGTGCGTCATCGAGGACTGTCTAACTTATTTCCATTGGGGTCCTTAATCTTGTCCCCCAGGATGCGACCCACACCAGTCGACTAACACCCAGGTACCTATTTGAGCTAGGTGAACAGGACAACAGGTGTAAGGAAACGTGTTGAAATGTTTTCACCCGCTGGGAATCAAACCCGGGCCCTCCGTGTGTGAAGTGGGAGCTTTAGCCACCAGGCCACCGGGAGGCACTACCGTTCTGCCAATGAGTGTGAAAAGGAAACCTGTAATTGTTTTACATGATGGTAGGATTGCTGGTGTTTTGTTTCTGTCCCATAAACATGCAAGGCTTCAGGTATGCCTTGCTACATCTACTTACACTTGGGTCACACTACACATGCATGTACAAGTATATATATTCACACCCCTCTGGGTTTTCTTCTGTTTTCTTACTAGTTCTTGCTTATTTCCTCTCATCTCCATGGGGAAGTAGAACAGAATTCTTCTTCTGTAAGCTATGAGTGTCGTAAGAGGCAACTAAAATGCCGGGAGCAAGGGGCTAGTAACCCTTTCTGTATACATTATTAAATAAGAAAAGAGAAACTTTTGTTTTTCTTTTTAGGTCACCCTGCCTCAGTGGGATATGGCCGGCTTGATGAAAAATATAAATACATTGTACATATTTTTGAGGGTAGCACTCTCTGAAATAAAAATTACATTACAGATTTCAGAGCTAAAGCAGATGAGTAAATACTCTGGCTTTTCCATGAAAGCATTACTATAGCAGAAGCAATGGTAAGCCCACTAATTTAGGCAATTTTTCTAATGATTCAGTGTACCATAAACACTTGAAATTTATTGAAATGTTTGATGAAGATTATTCTATGCAAGTTCATCAATCCAATGAAACAAAAAGAATTCTTTACATAGCAAAAGTAGTTTCACAAATGTAAACTGGGTCTCACCAACCTGAGGTATACACTGATGAAATTTAGGAGGAAAGAGAAGGATGGGTACTACTGGAAAGCACTTGTCAGTACCACAGAGAAGGTTACTCTCTGGGCTTCCACACATTATTGATCTTTCTCCGAAAGATTCATAATCTCGGCAAAAAATGCTGTAAAAGACACCCACTGTCTTATTGCTTTCCTTTTGCACTACCTCACCACTATTACCCTCCCTCTCCCTCTCAATATACTCTGGCTCTCCTTTTGCTCTCCCTCAGTACTCATTTTAGCCTCCCTTTTCCCTCCCATATATTCTGCCTTCTATCATTTTTGCATTGTAAAAACATCTTGTATGCTAATTTTTTTCCCCTTAACACCCTCTTTATCTTTTCAGATATTTGGGAGTTGACGTGTCAGTGGATGGATTTATGAAGGATGAGGTTAATCATAGAATTGATGAAGGAAAAAAGGTGAGTGGTGCATTGAGGTACATTTTTTTTTTTCTTCAACAAACCAGCCGTATCCCACCAAGGCAAGGTGGCCCAAAAAGAAAAACGAAAGTTTCTCTTTTCGAATTTAGTAATTTATACGGGAGAAGGGGTTACTAGCTCCTTGCTTCCGGCATTTTAGTCGCCTCTTACAACACGCATGGCTTACGGAGGAAGAATTCTGTTCCACTTCCCCATGGAGATAAGAGGAAATCAGCAGGAACAAGAACTAGAAAGAAAATAGAAAACCCAGAGGGGTGTGTGTGTATATATATGCTTGTACACATATGTGTAGTGTGACCTAAGTGTAAGTAGAAGTATCAAGACGTACCTGAACTCTTGCATGTTTATGAGACAGATAAAAGGACACCAGCAATCCTACCGTCATGTAAAACAATTACAGGCTTTCGTTTTACACTCACTTGTCAGGACGGTAGTACCTCCCTGGGCGGTTGCTGTCTACCAACCTACTACCTAGAATTGAGGTATATGTGGAGGCCAAAAATGTTATCTATGGAGGCAAAGAAGGGAATGTATGAAAGTATAGTAGTACCAACACTCTTATATGGGTGTGAAGCTTGGGCTGTAAATGCTGCAGCGAGGAGGCGGTTGGAGGCAGTGGAGATGTCCTGTCTAAGGGCAATGTGTGGTGTAAATATTATGCAGAAAATTCGGAGTGTGGAAATTAAGTGGTGTGGAGTAAATAAAAGTATTAGTCAGAGGGCTGAAGAGGGGTTGTTGAGGTGGTTTGGTCATTTAGAGAGAATGGATCAAAGTAGAATGACACGGAGAGCATATAAATCTGTAGGGGAAGGAAGGCGGGGTAGGGGTCGTCCTCAAAAAGGTTGGAGGAAGGGGATAAAGAAGGTGTTGTGGGCGAGGGGCTTGGACTTCCAGCAAGCATGCGTGAGCGTGTTAGATAGGAGTGAATGGAGACGAATGGTACTTGGGACCTGACGATCTGTTGGAGTGTGAGCAGGGTAATATTTAGTGAAGGGATTCAGGGAAACCGGTTATTTTCATATAGTCGGACTTGAGTCCTGGAAATGGGAAGTACAATGCCTGCACTTTAAAGGAGGGGTTTGGGATATTGGCAGTTTGGAGGGATATGTTGTGTATCTTTATGTGTGTATGCTTCTAGACTGTTGTATTCTGAGCACCTCTGCAAAAACAGTGATAATGTGCGAGTGTGGTGAAAGTGTTGAATGATGATGAAAGTATTTTCTTTTTGGGGATTTTCTTTCTTTTTTTTGGGTCACCCTGCCTCGGTGGGAGACGGCCGACTTGTTAAAAAAAAAAAAAAAAAAAAATTTCTAAACTGTTGTATTCTGGGCACCTCTGCAAAAACAGCGATTATGTGTGAGTGAGGTGAAAGTGTTGAATAATGATGAAAGTATTTTCTTTTTGGGGATTTTCTTTCTTTTTTGGGTCACCCTGCCTCGGTGGGAGACAGCCAACTTGTTTTGAAAAAAAAAAAAAAAAAAAAAAATTCCTCTTCCCACCCACACCCACCCCCTTATAACCTTAAACTTTTGCCACACATACAACAATTTATGAAGATAAAGGATAACCTTTGCCACACTTGATGTGGCTGTCAGGCAGAAGGGGTATGAAACAAGTAAACACAATATACAGTAGAGAAGAGTACTATGTTTAAACAGAACATGAATACAACTTACCATTTCTACATCTTTAATTTTCCTGCCTCTCCCACCTTTCTCTAGGACTCTAGTGGGTTTTTTTCCTGGAGTACCAGATAAGATCTTGCTATGTTTAAGAGGTGTTCTCTTTGGTGTTTTACCTGGAGTCTTAATACATTCTTCTTGAAAATCAATATTTTCCTTACTTTCATCTTCAGGCTCACTCAAACTATAGCTGCTATCATCATCATCATCATCATCATCTTCCTCATCAGAAGAAGAACTATCTTCTTTGAATACAATCTTATTAATACCTGTAATGTATAACACAGTAAATCACATTACCTGATTATAGGAACCTTCAAGAATTTTATAATAGTAGCAAATGCTGTTTAAAAGAAAACCAAAGCTTTGTACAAAATATTGAAAAAAAAAAAAAAAAAAAAAAGGTTAAATACAGTGGACCCTCGGTCATCGGCCATTCCACTTATTGGGCAACTCGCTTATCGGCCGTTATTTTGCTCATTGGCCGTTATTTCGCTCATCGGCTGTATGGGACGTGTGAACCCGCTGCCGCCAGCCGCTCGCGTCAGTCTGGCTGTGTCTCTGGGCGAGTGAGGAAGCTTCTGTTCATTCACCCAAACATTTCGCTATAATCCATTGTTTTTCATGGTTACTGACTGAGTGCAACTGCGAAATAAGCAACCCTGGACCCAAATAAAGTTCCTAGTAAAGTTCCTTTGGTAAAGAAAGTGAGAAACATGATGAAATTTAAGAAAGAAGTTGTTGAAAAGTGTGAGAGTGAAGGAGAAAGAGAGAAGGGACACTGTGCCTTCTTCAGTGATTCAATGATTCTACGATATGTACAATACTAAAGCAGCAGAAGTCAATAAAGGCTATAGCACCAGCCAGCAATAAAGTGTAGCTTTAACAGTGTAGCAAGTAAGTTAAGTGATTAATTAGTTAGTTAGTTTAATATGTTTATTATGCACCCCAAACCCATCCTGTGGGCAGTAGTCAAAAGATTACAGAGGTACATAATTGGTCCAGGGACTGGACTCCAAAGTTTTGATAGCTGAGCAAGTTACAGAGGTAATGAACTCACAATTTACAAAGGTAATGAACTCACAATTTACAAAGGTAATGAACTCCAGGTAGTTTTGATAGCTAAACTAGGTACAAAGGTAATGAGCTCACAAGTTACAAAGGTAATGAATTCTGTAAGAATGGTTACTTACGTTTATACATGGCTACAATCATGAACAAATTATAGTGTAATGAGCAATTCACACTTCCACACCCGGTCACAACTGTAATGAGTTATTGGTGCAAATATTGATTGCTGAGTCACACACACACACACAGCTCGGACTCGACCCCCGCAACCTCAACTAGGTGAGTACACACACACACACACACACACACACACACACACACACACACACACACACACACTGACACTGACACTGACACTGACACTCACACACACACACACACACACACACACACACACACACACACACACACACACACACACACACACACACACATCGCACACACTCACACACACACTCACACACACACTCACACACACACTCACACTCACACTCACATGGAACCACAAATAGGTGAGCACACACACACACACACACACACACACACACACACACACACACCACACACACACACACACACACACACACACACACACACACTTTAGTTTAATATCTTTATTATGCACCCCATACCCATCCTGTGGGCAGTAGTCAAAAGATTTCAAAGGTACATAATGGGTCCAGTGACTGGACCCCAAAGTTATGATAGCTGAACTAGTTACAAAGGCAATGAACTCCATTTAGCGATTGAAAAGGACGACACGAAACTTTAGCATACATACATACAGAGGTACAAAAAAAAAATACAGGTAAGAGCAGCATGCCAAAGCCACTTATATGCATAGCATTACGGGCTGGCTTAAAATTAACTTAAGATTAACTAAGCAATGATGAAATCAGTGATAAGACATTATTGTAAACAGATATCTATAAAGCACAAATGAGTATTACAAAGACAGGTCATATGGTTGCATGCATTGCTGTTCATTCAGTAGAATGGAGTATTCTGTTAGGTAGTATTTAAAAAAATAACAAAGTTAGATTGGGTCCTAGGTTTAACATTTATGTGATATAATTGTGAGTAACATTTTGGATATACAATTTATAAGGTTCAGTTATTCAGTATTTATTTGGTCTTGAGTGAGTAAGTGAACTTTGAGAAGAGACTTGAATTTATAAACAGGTAGTGTTTCTTTTATATTCACAGGTAATGAATTCCAGAATTTAGGGCCTTTTATGTGCATTGAGTTTTTGCATAGCGTGAGATGGACACGAGGAACATCAAAGAGTGATCTGTGCCTTGTGTTATGGTCATGTGTTCTGTTGAGTTGGCAAGGAGATGTTTGAGGGGAGGGTTAATATCAGAGTTAAGTGTTCTATGTATGAATAGGTGCAATAATATGTATGGATGTTTTGTATGTGAGTAGGTTGAGTGTTTTGAATATTGGTGGGTGTGTGTTGCCTGTAGTGAGAATTTGTTATCATTCTAACTGCAGCCTTTTGTTGGGTAATTAGTGGTCTGAGATGGTTAATTGTTGTTGAGCCCCATGCACAAATTCCATAGGTGAGATAGGGGTAAATAAGAGAGTGATAAAGGGCCAGGAGGGCTGACTGTGGAACATAGTACCGTATCTTCGATAGTATGCCTACAGTCTGGAAATTTTCTAGAAATTGTTGTATATGTGTATGAAATTTGAGTCTATTATCGAGGTGGATTCCTAAGAATTTTCCCTCTGTTAGCTTTGTGATAGTGATACGTTTATCGTTATGTTAAGAGGTACATCTGTAGCTCTGTTACCAAACTGAATGAAGTAGGTTTTGTCAATGTTTAGTGTAAGTTTGTTAGTCCTCATCCAGGTTGATAATTTTCTGTAATCGTGTTTACAGTATTGGCTAGCGTGACTGGGCTCGGGTGAGAGAAGACGTATAGTAGTGTCATCTGCAAAAAGTGTGGGTTTGAGTAATTGCGAAGCATTTGGTAGGTCATTTATGTATAGGAGAAAGAGAAGAGGGCCAAGACACTTCCCTGTGGGACACCAACTGTAATTGGTTGTGCGGAAGAGCTTGCCCCATTTGCGTACACATATTGGCTTCTGTTGCTGAGGAAACTTGAGGTAGTTGAGGGAGTGCCCTCTAATACCATAGTGTGACAATTTTACGTGAGCAAGTCATGGTCAACTGTATCAAAAGCTTTACGTAAGTCAATGAAGATCCCCAGTGGGACTTCTTTTTTCTCTATTGCAGTGTATATATGTTCTAGCATGTGTATAATAGCATCATTAGTATTTTTATTAGGCCTGAATCCAAATTAGCAGGGGTTGAAAATGTTTTGGGAGATGAGGTAGGAGTAGATTCGTTTATGAATTAATTTTTCGAAGATTTTTCAGAGAGGGTGTAAATTGGATATTGGCCTATAGTTATTCAACTCTGTTTGGTCTCCTCCTTTATGGATCGGGGTGACCCTTGCTATTTTGAGAACTGTAGAGAAGGTGGAGGATTCAATGGATTTGTTAAAGAGTGTTGCAATGAATGGTGATAGTACTTGTGACGCTTTTTTGTATATAAAGGGTGGTAAGGTATTTAAATCTCCTGCCTTGTTTTTCAGTGCGTTGATAATAAGGGAGACTTCGTATGGGTTAGTCGGAGCTAGGAACAGTGTGTTCGGGTAGTTGCCAGAGGTAGTCATTTGGTGGGGTATCTGAGCTTGGGATTTTATTGGCAAGGTTTTGACCTATAGTGGAGAAGAAATCATTGAGTCTGTTTGCTGTTTCTGTTGGTGGGAGTTGGAGTTCATCTGATTTTGCTAATTTTATTTCGCTATGTCGTGATGTCTTTTTTGTTCCCAGAATTTCTGATAGGGTCTTCCAGGTCTTTTTTATATCACCTCGTAAGTTGGATAATCTGTTCTCATAATACAATTTTTTTGCCCTTCTTATCAGGCTGGTTAGGATTGACGAGTAACGTTTTGTTTGGTCTCTGGTTATGTGACCCATTCTGTACTGTTTTTCATATTGGTGTTTTGTATTTATGGATTTGAGAATGCTGGGTGTTAGCCAGGGACTGTTCAGTCTCTTAGCTGTCATCTGTTTAGTTTTTTAAGGGCAGTGCTTGTTATAAAGGTATTGGGTCTCTTTTAGAAAATTATTAAAACATTCGTCAATATCTGTATAGATTTCTAGCTCAGTGTGCCAGTCAATGTTTGTTACTGCTGTTGTGAAGTTAATTAATGGCTGCCTCATTGTGAAGTCTGAAGGTGACTTTAGTAGTGTTCTTGGGGTATTTTACCAAGAGTTGTTATGAGGAAAGTAGGGTGTGGTCTGTGTATATCTGTAATTATGCCTGATTTTAAAGGGATATGGTGTTGGTCCAGATGTGGTCAAGTAGGAAACACTAGTCTCTGTAACTCTTGTAGGTTTTGTTACTGTTGGTAGCAACATGCAGTTACTCATTGTGTTTGTGAATTCAGTAACGTGTGGGTCCTGGTCTTGCAGGAGATTTATAATGAAGTCACCTGAGAGTAGTAAGTGATCTTTGTTCATGCGTGCATCAGTTATCATACTTCCTAGGTTTTGACTAAATTGGCTAATGTTTGATTGTGGAACTCTGTAGATGTTTATCACTGTGAGAGGTTTTTTGTAGGTATTTGGATTTGAAATTTAGCTATTATATATCCCCATGTTCATCCCTTGCGCAAGTATTAGTGATACATTCTAGTTGGTCTGAGTAGTATAAGCAGTGCCACCCCCTTGTTGGTCTGGCCTACAGTTGTGGTATGGCTGTGTAACCAGGAATGGCATAGACATCTGTAGTATCAGGCTTTAGCCAGGTTTCAGTTAGTGTAATGATGGACATATTGGCATGCAAGGAATTTAGTAATGCTAGGAGGTCATCATAATGCTTGCTTAAAGATCTGATATTGTAGTTAAAGATAGTTATGTTGTTGTTGGCTCTGAGAAGTGCCTTTGATTGTTCTGCTGTGTAGTAATTACAGTAACTGTTTGAATCATTTAAGTCATTAAATAAGAGTTGGTATCAGGATTAATGCTTGTAATCATAAGATTTGTAGTGAATCTATAGTTAGAATTAAGTAAAAAAATAAAGTAAATATTCTAAAGCTAAAAAAAAAAATAGCACCTGAATTATTTAACAAATGTAAAAATAATGAGCTAAGGTAGTTTTTTAAAGCTAAAATAAAGGAG